GAGCCGATAAAAGCTTTTTAAAGCCACATATTGCAATAAAGCTGTAATTGAAATGGAAATACAATTCTATACAAACTAATAGGAACAGATCAAAGTAGTATATTATTATTTTTAAATATATTTATTCTGTAGTGCTAAAATTTACACATTCCATAATGCCTTGGAATTGAATTTTTTGCAACAGACTGAAAGCTAGAAGGAACTTAAGTTCCTATAGCTCAAATTATTTAGTTAATTAATTTATTTTTATTTCATTTTATCTTCAGATAGTCTCACTTTGTCACCCAGGGTAGAATGCCTATGGCATCATAGCTCATAGCAACCTCAAACTCCTGAGCTTAAGCAATTCTTTTGCCTCAGTTTCCCAAGTAGCTGGGACTACAGGCGCCCTCCACAACACCTGGCTATTTTTTAGAGACATGGTCTCACTCCTGTTCAGGCTGGTTTTAAACCCCTGAGCTCAAGCAATCCACCTGCCACAGCCTCCCAAGTGCTGGGTTAACAGGTATGAGCCACCGCATCTGGCCCCAAATTATTTATTTTAAAGATAAAGTAGAGACATTTATGTGTTCATTCAACAAATACTGGTGAGCACCTACTATGTGTTTGGAATTGTTAGAAGCATTAAAGACACAATTGTGAACAAGACAGACAAGGTCCCTGCCTCAAGCAACTCATAATCTAGGAGGAGATGGACATACAGACAAATAATTGTGATTCAGTATGACAAATGTTGTAATAGAAGTTAAGCAGATGAAAATGCAGAGAAAAAAAACTCAGCCAGTTGGCTCAAGGTAGCTATAACAATCGAGATAAGATCTGATAGAGAGTAGGAATTTTTCAGATAAGTAAAAGGAAGGAGAAATGGCACAGCATGGCTCAACATGCGCAAAAGCATGAGAATTGTGTGACCTGGAAAGTGCAAACTACGGGTTGAATATCCCTTTATCCAAAATGCGTGGGACCAGAAGTGTTTAGGATTTTAGATGTTTTTGGATTTTGGAATATGTGCACATACAGAATAAGCTATCTTGGGGATGGGACCCACATACAACCAGGAAGTTCATTTGTTTCTATGACCTTATACGAACAGCCTAAAAGTAATTTTGTACAATATTTTAAATAATTTTGTGCATGAAACAAAGTTTGTGTTCAGTATCTATGTATGGGATTTTCCACTTATGGAATCATGTTGGTGCTCAAAAAGCTTTCAGATTTTGGAGCAGTTTGGGGGCAGTCCGAAATCAATCAGATTTTCAGATTAAAGATATTCAACCTGTTTTTTGACGTGGCCTAACATAAAGAGAGTGGGTGCAGGGACTTGCAGATCCTAAGACATTTGCACTAGTTACAAACTTTCATAGTAGCAAAATCACAACTTTCTTAGTTTGGATATATGTAGCCATTTTTTGGAAAAAATGTTTTTCCTTTCAAATGTGCTCAAGAGGCTGGGATAAGGGGTTATGGCTTTGACTTGCGGTGGAATGATTTTTGGTTAAATAAAAGTAAAAATAATATTTATTAAAAATAAACCTATGCTCAAATAGAGAAAATATAGCTTTTATATTTCACAGACAGAAAAATCAGGAAGATTTTTTTTTTTTTTTTTGGCTGGGGCTGGGTTTGAACTCACCACCTCTGGCATACGGGGCTGGTGCCCTACTCCTTTGAGCCACAGGCACTGCCCAAATCAGGAAGATTTTTTCAAGAAAATTTTAGAGATTTAAACACATACTATTATAGCCAAGTTACTTAAAGTAGCAATGAAATGGGAATTATTCAATAAGGATTAATTAGATACACATGCATTCATACAATGTGGAACAAAAAGACATTGTAATTTTGAAGAAGGGTATTAACAACAAGAATATTTGCAATATATTAAGAGAAATCACAGGCTTGGTGCCTGTAACTCAGCAGCTAGGGTGCCAGGCACATACACCAGAGCTGGAGGGTTTGAATCCGGCCAGGACTTGCCAAACAATGATAATAACTACAACCAAAAACTGGCTGGGTGTTGTGGTGGGCACCTACAGTCCCAGCTGCTTGGGAGGCTGAGGCAGGAGAATCTTTTAAGCCCAAGAATTTGAGGTTGCTGTGAGCTGTGTTGCCACGGCACTCTACTGAGGGCCACATAGTGAGACTCTGTCTCAAAAAAAAAAAAGAAATCACAGCAAAATACTCTGCATAGGACTGTCCCACAGCAAGCAATGTGCTAAGAAAAATAATGCATGAAGATAAAATAATGTCTGGAAAACGAAATACGCTAAAACTTAAACATTTTAAATTTAAAATGACTGGTAGGATTACAGGTGAATTCTATTTTCTATTTTATCTGCCTGGCTTTTCCCTCCATGATCTGTTTTGTTTTTTTAGGGACAGAGTCTCACTTTGTCGGCCTTGGTAGAGTGCTGTAGCATCACAGCTCACAGAAACCTCCAACTCTTGGGCTTAGGTGATTCTCTTGCCTCAGCCTCCTGAGTAGCTGGGACTACAGGCGCCCATCACAATGCCCAGATATTTTTTGAGGCAGTTTAGGCCCCGGCCAGGTTTGAACCCGCTATCCTCTGTATATGGGGCCAGCGCCCTACTCACTGAGCCACAAGCACCGCCCCCCCACCAAGATTATAAACCCAAGTTATTTGTTCATTAAAACGTAACGATTTTAAAAGCAAAAATGAACATAGGTAGTGATTTTAACCAGCAATTTTATTTTATTGTCATTTATTTGATTGGTAATGAGGTTAAACATATATAGGTCTGTAATTATTGCCCATTTGTATATTGTCTTCTGTGAAATACCCCTCATTCTACTCACTTGAATGCCTTTTCCTCATAAATCCTAGTCTTGTTTGTATAGTCTCTGTAATAGTTATCAATTATTCAAATTTACATACACATATCTACATATACATAATTACAACTGTGGCCTGCATTTTCAATTTCTCATTGGTTTATTTGATGAATATTCTTAAAGTTAAAAAAAAGCAAAAGGGAGAGAACAAAATTTGATGAGACAGATAAAAATTTATCCTTCAATGAGACTGAAACAATTTTTTCATCAAAGCAGGAGGTATGATAAAAGGTTAATGTCTGTGACTGGAGACAAATTTGTTTCCAGTGAATAACAGATCTTAAAATACATGAATCACTGCCACAAAAATAGTGATTAGATGAAAATTAGAGAAAGGCTAGTACTTTTACAATTAGTATTGCTAACTTGGTATTTAAATTTTTAAACTATTTTTATTTTGCTCCATGTTGGGCAAGAAATTATTCGATATTCAAAATTGGTGCAGCTACACAGAAAGATATTACGTGTTCTTACGTAATGTTTGTGGGGGCCACGGACAGATAACATAAAAGGCCACAGTCAGGGTCTCACCTTTTTTCCTACATTTCCCCATCTTCAGCCCAGTTATCTTCATAATTTTAAAATAAATGGCTTCTCCCTACTTCATCAGTGAAAAAATATATTGCTCTATCTTATCTGGTATAAAGACTGAGGAAAATGAAGACATAAAAGGTCAGGAAAACGATACTTTCTCTTATCTGTATGTTAAAAGAGAAATATAGCTAGCTGGAAGACCGCCCTCCCTCTCTCCCACCGCCATCAACAACATAGGCCTATTCCGAGTGGACAAAATTGGGCCATGGAATTTTCCGCGGGAGCCTTTGTCTCCTGCCCGAATCCACCCTCTGGACTAAAGCGACCTCAGGATCCTTAGGAAGTGAAGCGAAGTTAATAGAGAATTAATTTTGCATGAGGTCGTCTAAGAGATGTCCCCATATCAGGGATGGAAAAGACAGGGTTGACAGGGACGAGGACGAGGTAAGGGCGGCGGAAGCAGGGCGCACCGGAGCGCAAACTGGGTCCGGAGCCGCCGGCTGCTGGGGGGGGGGGGAACAGTCTTTCTTGCGCACATTAAACACCTACTATGTTCCAGGCACTGTACTAGGCGCTTTCCTATATGCCAATTTTTATTTTATAAGCTTCTAGCTCACACTGCAACCCCCCCGCCTTTGGAAAATCTCGGGGTATGCTCTGTTTCCCACGCATCCCCAAATGCAAAGGTGAAGATACATGGGCGACAACCAAACAGCTGGATACAGGACTATCTGCTGACACAAGGGAAAGGGCCCTGAAGGCCCTTTCTCTTTGGGGCTGATGGATACTCAGCCGGGCGCTCGCGGGGTTCGGGCTGCGGAGACCCGACAGGTCTTCAGTTCATTCCGACTGACCGTGGCGCCCCGGTCAGCGTCCGCCTGCCCCCTCGGCCTCTGCCTCCTACCGATGCTGGACGGCTAATTGGGCTCTATTTATAACAAGTGTGGTAAACAATGTTCGCCTGGCACTTCTTCAAGTGCTCTGAACTACATAACTCATTCGAACTCACACCCATTATCGCCCCCATTTTACAGATGAGGAAACAGGTTAAATCACTTGCCCGGTATCAGGATTCGAACCCAGAAAGTCTGGTTGGATTCGGAAGGCACACTGGAAAGTGTTCCTACTTTCAAAGTCTCCAAGAACTCCGGGACGTCTTCCCTGAGACTCTACCCCTCTTCCCCCACCTGCAATCCAGGCTTTTGCGGTTCTGGGTGGGTTCACTCAGCGGGTGCCGACGGGGACCCGACCGCCGGGGAGACGCTCCCTACTCGCGCACTCACCGTCCTTCCCGAGCGGCGCCGGGCTGGGGGGCGCCCTCAGAGGCAACGCCAGGGTCTTGGAGACCGCCCTGCGGAGGTACATCGCGCCGCCGTCCGCCGTCCGCCGCGCCGCAGCCGGGGTAGCTGGACGCTGGCTGCCCAGACGCCGACCGGTGGAGAGCCCGAGAGCGCCCCGCCCCGCCCCGCCCCGCCCCCGCCGCCCCTGCGAGGCGGGTGGGAGTTTGCAGTTCTCGCCCTGCACCATGCCCTTCTCTAGCTCTGTCGCTTTCCTCTGCTTCGGGAAAACTGATGGCGGCATCTCAAAAAAACGGAATCGAGAGCCTGGAAGTTGCCGTCAGCTGCCTAACCTGTGTGTTCCACCGAGAGCAACTCCTCAGGCAGGCTGGAAAGGTTTGGGGAATCGCATCGAGACTGAGACAAGGACTAGGTTTATCTTGCTGGATGCCATCTGAATTCGTTCCATCTCACGCAATCCGTTAGCGTTTCGAGGTAGAAGAAAGGGAAGTTTCTTACATATGCACTCATGAGGGGTGGCCTCAGCCTTTCATTAGTGCACTGGGGGATGTTCAGAATCCTAAGAAAATCTCCAGGCAATGGATGAATTTCTAGGTTATTCATTGACGCAACGATTTGAAATAGAAACTCCAAAAAGGTGTTATTATTATATTTATTATTATAAAGAGGTATATTCCTCTATGGCAGGGGTCCTCAAACTTTTTAAACAGGGGGCCAGTTCACTGTCCCTCAGATCGTTGGAGGCCGGACTGCGGCCCCGGGACGAGTCAGCTGCTAAGCAGGACAGGCAGCGTCGGCAAAAAACACCCTGCCGGCTGGATAAATGTCCTAGGCGGGCCTCATGTGGCCCGCACGCTGTAGTTTGAGGACGCCTGCTCTATGGGGTGTAAATTAGTATTTCCACATCAACTAAAAATGCTAATTTGTTAGTTTCTTCTCCTCGATTTTACTTACCTGGTCCGGCTACAAGAATTTTTCATGGTTTGAATATGGAAACTAATAATTTATGTTTGTAACTTTTTCAAAATGATTAATCTTTGGAAAGAACCGTTTCCTACTATTAATCGCTTATGTGCGTTTGGCACTTGGCAGTTTATAAAGCACTTTCATATATATCTCTTTTAATTCCAATCCTCTGAGGGAGGTGGCAATTATTCCCTTTAGCAAATGACAATACCAGGTAGTGGGGAGGAATGTCCAAAGATTTACCCATGGTCATGATTTTTTAAAAAATGACACGATCATAATATTTCTAGCTCTAAATTCCCTTGGCATGTAACAGGCACAAATTTGTTCATTTGTTTTGTGAATAAATATTTCTCAGAAATTATAGTCTTGAACCCAATTCTCTCCCCCCCGCCCAGGTTAACAAAGAGATATTTTATTTAGGAAAAACAAAGAGAAATCTTAGAGCATTTCCAAAGAGTTGGAAGTGGGTCCCTCTCATGAAGGAGAAAAGGTGAGAGAGACCCTGAACCAAGTTCTAATAATATTTAAGATAATCTCACACAAAGAGTACAAGTCCACAATGAAAGTGGCTTTCTGGATACTCAGAAAACATGTTGCTACTGTTAGTGGTTAAATAATTAGCAAGGTCAATTAGTCGTTAATGAAGTAACTACTAATCTGAGTAATCTGTAGTTAATGAAGGGTCAAGTTTAAATTTCCAAGCAACAAAAAAAGGGACTAGATACCCAGATTGTCCTCCAAGAAGTCAACAGTCTTAAAAGCACAGATTAATGGACGGGTTCAGTGGCTCATGCTTGTAATCCTAGCACTCTGGGCAGTCCAGGCAGGTGGGTCGCCTAAGCTCAGGAGTTTGAGACCACACTGAGCGAAGTAAGACTCCGTATCTACTAAAGACAGAAAAAACTAGCTGGGCATTGTGGCAGGCACCTGTAGGCCTAACTACTTGGGAGGCTGAGACAAGAGGATTGCTTGAGTTCAAGAGTTTAAGGTATGATGCCATAGGTACTCTACCCTGGGTGACTGAGTGAGACTCCGCCTCAAAAAACAAACAAACAAATGAAACCCCACAGATTATTAGTATGCTTGCCACCTTTAAGCAGCATCTAGTATATATCCTTTGGCAATTTGCAATTAGCTATCTCACTGATGGAGTGGAATGTTTAATGAACTGCTAGCTGCTAGTACAGATTGACAAACCAAACCATGTCTGTCTATCACAATGGCTCATTTTTTCCTGGGTGCACTTAGGACTAAATTTTTCTTGAGTGCCAGAGACAAAAAAAAAAAAAAAAATAGTGAAAGGCAGTAAAGGATGAATTATATTGTTATATAATATGTTGTAATAATTAAATCCTAAGGCTTCCCTAAAAATGTTCTGAGTAAATATTTGTAAATGATGACTCCTAGGATACTGTTCTGACCTTCCCTTTAGAATTCAATTGTAGGATCAGAGTCTGGTACAGTCTGAGCGCCTCTGTATCACCCCCAGTTTCCACAGTAGCCACCCAACCTCTGCCAGTCAAACTGTGTATCAGATTCTGTCAAAATGTTTATAATATGCTAAGGACTGTGTGTGCTGAGGATTCATTATAATTTATCTCACAAATACTTATCAGGTACATGTATCCTTTACGCAATAGGCATTGTTATAGGGCTTTTTCTTCAATGAACAAGACAAGATTTCTGCTATCACTCACAGAGGTTATAGTTTCAAGTTAAGGAAATGTGAAAGCAATCTTTTCTGAAGGGTAGCTGCCAAGCCTACGATCAGTGAGATCAATGATCACAAAGAATCCTCTGATTGGCTCGGTGCCTGTGGCTCAAGTGGCTAAGGTGCCAGCCACGTACACCCAAGGTGGCGGGTTCGAATCCAGCCCGGGCCTGCCAAACAACAATGACGGCTGCAACCAAAAATTAGCCAGGCGTTGTGGCAGGCGCCTGCAGTCTCAGCTACTTGGGAGGCAGAGGCAGAAGACTCGCTTAAGCCCAGGAGTTGGAGGTTGCTGTGAGCTGAGATGCCACAGCACTCCACCCAGGGGGACAGCTTGAGGCTCCTGTCTCAAAAAAAAAAAAAAAAAGAATCCTCTGATCAGGTATCAATAACAAATGTAATCTAAGGACTTTGGCCCAAATCAAATTGGTTTAAACAATGCAAAAATAACATACGTATATAGCCCTTCCCATAAGCATTATCATATTTAATAATCCTAAGGCAGTGGGCAAATGTTGACTATCCCTGTATTACATATGAAAAAATTGAGGTCATGTAATACTGTGTGGTTAAGACCATGTGCTTGGGCACAACTGGGCCGGGTGAGTCCGGGGAGAGGAGACTACAGGCATCTCTGGCTGGTGGGATC